TGGATTGTCCCAGACTACTTAAGGGCAAGTCGTGGCCACTTCTACGCGTCAGCAGTTGAGCGCGATGTAGGGGAACCTGTGCTGCCACCCTGAACTGCTGCTCGAAGTCCTCAACAATACAGGAATAGTCCTTTCCTGCCCCGGTGTCATATCTGCTAAAGCTTCTTGGACCGTGTCCCTCAGACGGAATGTTAGGAATATTGCTTTGTCCACCTCCCTAAAATGGTGGATCGCTCCAACACTCTCAAAGTGGATTAGGTAGTGGGAGTATGACATGCTCCTGTCGAACTTATTTGGAAGCATCACTGGTCTCTGACCTTTTGTCTCCAAAAGCTTCTGAGGTGACCTGTTACACGATTGTCAGCTACGCCCCTCTAGCACAGGTGCAGGCCAGCAGAGGTGGTAAAGCCCTAATGACTTCAGTACAAGGCAGTTGCATGTGCACCCTTGACATGCAGCCAAGGCAGCGCTGAAAGCCCGAACCATTGACTCTGACAGAGCTGTTCTGCACCATTGATTTGTGTGAGGAGCCGTTGGGCCCCATTGATTTGTGTACGGAGCAGCTCTGGTGGCTCTGCACGACTGACTTGTGTGAGGAGCAGCGCTGGCGGCTCCGCACCATTAACTTGTGCGAGGAGCCGTTGGGCCCCATTGGCTTGTGGGAGGTGCCGTTGGGCCCCACTGACTTGTGTAAGGATCAGCACCAATGGCTCCCCTCGCTTTATCCGGGTAAACTGGCTGGCACCCATGGGTGTCTCAATGTAGAACCCCTCCCAAGCCGCCTTGACAGGTGCATCTTGGCAATGCTCCATGTGGAACTGAGCTACTGTTGCAGTTCTGCCTGCAACATGGGGTGATACTCCGGGGAGTCTCGCTTGCACTTTTTTGGTGAAACGTGTCTCCAGTTGAAGCCCTGCCCCTGCTTCCTTGACAGGTACAGCTCGACTGTGTTCCGAATGGAATGTTGTGTCCGCCACGACATTGTTATCAACATAGGGCAGTTCCCGAAAGGATTAGCACTAGGCGTACTAAGACAAAATTTGTGGGGTGTCCCCATACCAAATCTTGTCCCCACTGCATCAACAGGCACAACTCAACTGTGCCCAAGACTGCTTGTCGCGCAGCCAGCCAACGCAAGGGGCAGTTCCCCAACGGAATTTCTACCAGCACTGACTGCATTAAGGAAAATTTTGTGGGGTGTTCTCGCACCAAGTCTCGCCACAGCTGCATCGACAGGCACTACTCCACAGTGCTCCAAATGGGTTATATTGTCTGTCGCGCTGTTGACCACAGCACAGGGCAGTTCCCAAGGGGTACTGGCATGTGAAGTGTCAACGGGGACAAAGCATGGAATGTAAGATAACTTTTTGCGCTGCTCAACTCCTACCATCCTACCCCCGTAAACGCCTCCCTCAGTGCCAACTGTTCCCAAATTGTCTTTGAAAAAGGATTCAAGCTCATCGATTGTCAAATTGGTTAACTAGGAATTGCCCCAGGCTGTCCTATAGGCTACGAGGCCCCAATACAACCCACATCCTCGCCATGTGGCGAGTTAGATGCCGACTCAACGTAGTTCAGAATATTCATGGCTGGATCAACAGCAAAATTTTCCCTAAAAAATTCACCTTTTTCTTTCTCATCAGGCGTGCCGCCGCTGCCACCAATGTTCTTTTATACACCTGACAAAACTGATGCCATACAGGTTTTTAGTTTCTCGGGGCATTTTCACCGTTTATTTCATACACCACCATCCTTTCCTTCACAAGCATGACCTTTCCTTTTCTCCATGGTAACGCCACCCAAAACCTTGTAACCAAACCTATTGTGCCGGTGCAGTAGGCAACGGGTCTCCGGGTCAACCAGCAAGGGCTCCAAGGCACGGCTCTGTAGTGGTTCCGTGCTGGTGCCCTCTACCGGCCGGCGGGTGCCAACACTACCATATGCATCAGAATGGGTTTGGGGGGAAAATTGGCTTGAGCAAGTGAAATTTTTTAACATTTTTGATATTATGACAAAACTGGGCAGCATTCAAAAACCCAAAGCATTACGAACCCATAAAAAGTGGCAGTGCAACAAGTCACACGGAATGTGGCTCCCATACTATCGAAGTAGCTCTATTAATTAATCATGGTATCACAAATTTTGAGTTTTGCCAGTGAGTTCCCAATCGGCAATATTAGCCCAGGTAATCAATAATTTATGGCCCGAGGATAAGATTTAGTAAAACAGAGGGAAAAATTTTGCATGTTTCCATAAGTTTTGATAATTTTTAATAAAAGATGCGATTTTTCCGAAAGTTGTTAATTCTCCTTGACCGTGTATCTCATTACCTACCGTCTATCTTTTTCACCGTTATTTCCAACGCCACCCTGCCCTTGGATATCTGTTACTGGGTTCCAATAAGTCAATTTTGAAATGGCCAAAGGTGTCTAAAGGCATATTTTAACTGGAAAAATTCCCAGTGTTTTTCGAACTCAAAATAAAGGCTTCTGCATTGAAAAAAAACGTTTTGAGTGCATAAAACATGCCTCCAACCTCCATTACAATAGACTTGTATCAGTCGTACTTTTACCCTTTGTGTCCAGGGTAATTAGCGAATAACTATGTCGGTATTATTGTCGTAATTTGAAGAATTTGCAATGGATATTTACACTTTCTAAAATAAATTTGGAATAAAATGGTTCAGGTCTAATGAGATGGTTACAACTCTTGGAGAATCAGAACTCAGAAAGAAGACATTTTTAACAAAATAAAATGACATTTACAGTACAATACCCACATATTTATTATTCCTTCAGCAAAACACCAATTTAAGTAATAAGATGTATGTCAAAGTTGTTGCTACGTGTACATATAAGATTGGGGTTAACAAGTTCTGGTGGAAAAAAAATGAAGTCATTCCTTTCCTGATTAACAAGCGTTAAACAGTGCAATTGTTCCCATCTCATTCCCTCCGTGTTTGGCATCTCTAAGGAGACTAGAAAAATGGAGTCAAATACAGGTAAACTGGAACATTAAAACATTCAAATGAGGCTATTTTGTTTTCTCTAAAAACAGAATCATTCTTTTTATCTTTATTTATTCATAAACAAAGTGCTTTAAAGGCCATCATAGAAACCATTTTGGATACCGCAATTAGACCCCAAAAAAGTCGATCTCTGGTCAGCGTGCGCATCAATTTGAACGTGCGTGTCAATATTTTTTTCCTCAATTTTTCCTCAACATTTTCAAAACAGCATTCCCCTTTATTTCTGCACCACCTAAATGTTCATGAGTGGACTGACTCCCGGCAACAAGTCCACAAGTCAGCAGGGCAACTTGTTCAAGGAACCAGACTAATTCATGGGTAGCTCATACCTGGTGATATTACTGATAGATCTGTTATGACTGCGTAATGTTGATGTTGAACATAAACAGTAGACCATGGGTTCATGGGTAGGTTACAAAGTTGCAGCCAGCTGATCAACAACAATGGCAGCATGGTGTGCGACGCGCTACAACTAGCCTTTGCTCTTTGATTAAATAATAAAATATGCCCCTTATTTCCTTGTCCGTTGCCAGTCTTAAAAAGTGCCCCCCCAAAAAAAACCACATCGCTGCATCAATTCTGGAACTTCGGTCTGACTGGAGACCGAGTATTTTTATTTTTTGGCCTACCAGTAATACTACATGTATATGGATTTTCTGAGCTATGACTACTATCATACTCATAGAGGAAAATAAATTTAACTTCAAACAAAATTTTATGAATTAAGTTAAAAAGTAAGAATTTAGAAACCACAAGAAGGATAGGATAATTCAGGAAGGCGAGCAAGCGATCTTTATTTCGGTCAGGAAATGTGATAACTAGCCTATGCGATAAAACTAAACTAAATTATTCCAGAACTATAGCTTTTCACGAGTCACTTTTCATCAGATTCGCCCATTTGTGGGATACCCTGACAGGCATTGTAGACAGCCTGATCTTTGGTCTCAACACTTTCATTGCCAAACTGAGGGTACACTGGCCGACTGCAGGTGTGAACTACATGCCATCTTGAGCCCTTATACAGATGGAATTTCGCTTAACTTTTTTCCTGAACTCTGTTTTTTTTCTTAATCCCGTTTTTTTTTATAACTGCTTGTTTTCTTTTAATAACTGCTTGTTTATATTACCTGGGGTTTGTGTTTGTATGTTTGTGTGGCCGTTGGTTGTTTACTTGGTCATTTCTTCCTCTATATGTTTGTCTGTTGGGTTGTTTATCCTCTGTCTGTCTGGTGTGGGTGGGTGGACCGTTTGTCTGTCTGTTAGTTTGTTGTCCTTCCCTTTGTCTTACTTTTTTGTCCTGTTTTGTTTCTACTACTTGTATGTCTCGGAGGTTGTGTTTCTTCATCTGTAGGGTCACCTGTTTCTTGTCGACTGTGAGTTTGTTTTGTGGGAGTTTTGTTTTGTTCTTAGATTTTTAGTTACCATCGGGGTGTCTTCCTTGCTTTTCTTGTAAATATGGAGCAATACATAAAATTGTCACATAAACTCAAGGATTTTGTAATACTCTGTAGGGTTATTCTCTTCGCTCTTGAGATTATGTGTTTTAAAGTGAGTCTGCTAAAATGTAATTTTGCAATTTAGGACTTTTAGTCATGCTATGGGAGAACTACTTGATAGTGATTTAGTTCACTTTTTAGTAATCCTGCAGGGGCATGCAACTACATCATGATCATCGGCCTAGGGCCTACATGTATTTTGGTGTTTGGGTCTTAGTCTTTTTATAACTTGGTTTGATGCTAAGCCTATATTTAAACTTTGTCTTTTTATGGCTTTACTGTATGTAATATTTGTTTTACTTAATTTGTTTTATTCACTGTAAATTTGACCTGTGAAATAATACATGAAATGAAAGAATAGAGTAACCCATCCGAGTTCACGTTCCTACCATACATGCAGGCAGGGCCTACATGATGTAGCTCATGTAGCTGGGCTCCTGAAAATTGGAACAAACACAAAAAACAAACTGACAAACCTTCCTCTTAAATTCACATCCGTAAAGTAGGTATCTGATATGAACTTCTCTGCTCTCTCCAAAGTGCAACGTTTATTCTTCAAAACCAGTGATCCATTCATTTCTGTCCTTGTCACCTGTCATGCATGTTGTGTGATAACTCAACATTTCAGTCAGTCAGCGCATGCGCGTTGTACTAAATGTTCCGTTCCGCCCACTAAGTAGTCTTTGTCAAGACGTTGTTGTTTGTTGATACATGTATGTGAGGGCTGCACATGTACAGTACGTTCAAGATGGATGAGTTACTCTATCCATTTCTCCATGCTCTATCATTTCATTTCATTTTTTATTTCGCAGGTCAAATTTACACGTTCTGAAACGCATGTACATGTACAGAACATGTACTGTATATGTACGAGTTCGTGCGTTTCTAGCCTCGCCAGTCGCGCTGGGTAATGGGGTGGCTTGTTTGCGGTTCGTGCGTATAAAGAACACAGCGTAT